GATCTCTTCCTATAAGGTTACCAGTCAGACCGAATCAGGTCGCACCCTAGTGACCTCATGTGACCTGATCACCTCTGTAAAAGCCCACTGCCAGGTACACTCACGTTCTGAGGTGCCGGGGTTAGGCTGTCACCATAGCAAGGTGGGCACCTTCAGCCCATAGCGCCCACCTCTCAGAAAGGACCTCTCACATCACCACTGATGCCTTAACGAGGACCAGTCTCTGAGTCCAAGACCCGCCTTCACCCCATTGCCTCTGGAGTCTAGAGCTGGCATCTTCCTGCCGGGCCGACTCAGGCTGTGGCTCCGTGGTGGGGGGACCCCTCCAGCAGCAGCCCCCCACTTCCTGTTTCATGCCTGAGACTGCAGACAGGCGGTGCTGGCCAGCCTGCAGGATGCCCCGGCTTCCCACATGGGGAAGACTAGAGGGCTGGGAGCTGCTGGCTTCCCCCAGGGGTGGGCAGCTTGCAGGGGGTGTGGAGGAAGTCGAGGCCTGAGGTACCCACAGCTTGCAGGGCCAGGCTGGCTGGTTTTGTCCTGTCTGATGAGGCCCCGTGCTTGTCTGAGGCTGATGGCTCCCAGAGATGGGTCAATTTGCACCATGTCCCCTTCTACGGAAGAGACACCAAAGCTGAGAGACTGGCCAGAACAGGATGGAAGGCCGCCTCCTGCCTGACCGCTCAGGTGGGAGGGAGGCCTCTCTGCCAGGGCTGTGGTGTTCAGAGTGTCACCGCTGGTCCCCTGGCTGCCCCGAGGGTCCTGCCCACAGACCACAGTCACAGCTGCACCGACAGGGCAGCCAGGGAGGCCGGTTAAATAGGCCTCATGATCCAGAGCACCCCAGGCCACCAGGGAGCCAAGTGCGCCTTTGGAATGTGATAGGGGGTTGTCGCCACTGGGGCGCCGGGCAGCGGGAGTCAACTTGGTACTTGGTGGCCTCCCCCAGCTCTGTCCCTGCTCCTCCCGTCCCAGTGATGTTTTCCTTTCATTACTTCAGTGATTGAGCTGAAAGCCGAGGACCGCAGCAAGTTCCTGGACGCACTCGTGTCCCTCCTGTCCTAGGGTGAGTCATGGGGGAGGGGTGCTGGTGGCTTCCCATGGCCCTGCCACAAAGCCCAGCTTCTACCTGGGTTTGAGGCCGGAGATGGGGTCCAGCGCCTGTTCCCAGGGACGCCTGTCCCCAGGCTGGTGGCAGGACCACAATGGGCCACTTTGAGGGATCTAATTTCATTAAGCTCCTGGGATCCCTTCAGAAGGAGCTGCGTTTACCCTCCTCTGATCACAAGGCGCCAGGTGTGGCCGGGAACGGGGGCTGCCCTTGCCCCAGCGTCAGGCCCTGGGCTGGAGCCCGCAGGGTGTCTATCTGGGCTCTCATGTGCTGGACTTCTGAGAAGGCCAAGCTGGTAGCAGCCACTCAGTGGGGAATTATAAACCATGGGCCCTATGTGAGCCTGGACGCCTGCGGCTGTCACTGTGACAGTGCAGCGCAACGCTCCCGCCAGCGCTGTCCCCTGTGCCTCACACACCACCTCTTTCTCAAGGGCCCTCGGGAAATGGGCCGGGGACCTGCTCTGTCTAGTGACCCCTTCTCAGCCCAGGCCCCCAACAGCGGATGCCCTGCCCGGCACCTCCCTGACCCCCAGCTGGAGTCGCGGCTGTGTCACACGGGCCCTGTCCAGGCTCCGGTGTGGGGGGTCCCTCCTGCCGGCCCAGGGTCCTTCCTCCGTCCCCCGTCCCTGGTGAGCTGGGAGTGTGAGAGCCCTGGTGGGCTCTGCTGAGAATGGCCTAGGAGCCTCAGGGACCTCCCCCAGCCCCTCTCTCGGGGGGCACAGGGCTCTGGGGGCAGATTGGGTCTTATGTGACGTCTGTGGGGAGCCTCACCAGGCTGGCCCCCTGTCCTCATCTGAACTGGGGCTGACACCCCTTGAGTCTCAAGGGCTGGGCCTCAGCAAGGGCCTTTGTGGGGGGGGAGGGTTAAATCAAAGGTTACAAATGGGGGTCTCGGGCAGTGGGGCTGGCATCTGAGGCAGACCCCTCCCTGCAGCCTGCTTGGTGATGATCCCAGGGCCATGTGCGAGCTGCCACCAAGACGGCACCAGGTGAGCCAGCCTGGGAGGGTGAGGGGCAGCGTGCTGGGGGCAGTGCCAAGGCTGGACAATCTGCCAGGCAGGGTCTGTAAGGGGAGGAGGTGCCAGGAGCCGTGTGGCCTAAGGTACTCAAGCAGACAGGACGGCGGGTGCTACCCACCACCTGTCAGTGGTGGGGCTGCTCAGAAGCAGCCGCTCAGCACAGCAGTGGGAAGGCCTGGGCAGTTTGTTTGACTTGGGGAACCATCAGAATCGTTTGAAATTTATTTTTTCTTTTCTCTTTTCCAGAGTTTGATTTCCTCAGAAGTGACCTCCTTCTCCTTATTTATGTTAACTGGCTTTTATTTAGATTGTAAGTTATGGACATAGTTTTAGATGCAGGGACAGTGTTTTTAATGGAATAAAATGATTATTTTAGGTTTGGTGCCCCAATCTTGGCTCTGGTCACAGGGCCAGGGCTTGGTTGTTCTCTGAGCCTTGTATGTCCAGAGGGACCTTGATCCTGTGCCCTGGGCACCCCGATGCCCAGCAGGAAATCAGCATGGGGGGCAGCTTCCAGGCTCCCTGGACAGCAGTGGGCAGAGGCCAGGCCCCTCAGCACCTCCACTGACCACTTTGATGCCAGCCAGGACCTGGCTCGGTTCACCCTCCCACCACTTCCTCCTGTCCACTGGCCTTGGCAGCATCTCAAGTCCACCCTCTTGATCATGTACCCCTCCCAGGCCCACCCTCCACGTCCATCATCTTACCCCCAGCACCTGCCTGTCCAGGCACCCCCACCTCTGGGCACATGGCAGACACCATCAGGCAAGTCAGGCAGGGATAGCAAGGGCGGGGCCCCAATTCAGGAAGGGAGGGGCTTGCTGAGGGGCCTTGGGGTCAGCTTCGCCCACGTCCTATCGCAGAAGGTCCAAGCTGGACAGGCTTCAGCAACCTCCAAAGTCTTCGGAGCAGCAAGAGTTCTCTGTCAGGGAAGCCGTGGGATCAGCTGGCCCCACCCTCCCAGTTGTCCCCAGGACACCTGCAAGGGTTGAGGGGATCTGGAGGCAAGGAGGATGCCATTTCTGTCCTCTGGCAAGGAGAGAGCCATTCACGCAAGTGGCTGAGGCCATCTGTGACCACTGCACAGAGCTCGGGTGCCAGGGGAGCAGGCAGGCTGGAGGGCCATGGCCACCTAGGTGTGGCACCTGGGGCCACGGGCAAGAGGTGGCAGAGTGGTTTGGGCAGCACTTATGTTGGTGGGAAAAGCCCAGAAATCGTGTTCAGGAACTGAGGACACGGGTTAGGGGGGCTAGGTCTTAGGGTGGGCCTTGGGGAGGGGTAGTGGGCAGTGGGGTCAGCTGCATTGGAGCTGCATTGCTCCTCCCACCTGACCTCTGGCAGTGGAGTTTTCCCCTGCCCTTCCCAGCATGGGTCGGGGACAACAGCCTGCCCCGCCAGGGCCCTCAAGCTGCCCACCCTGGCCATCTGCAGAAGCTGAGGGCTGGGCAGCTACCATTCAGAATCCCAGCTGACGCCTGGGGCCCTGGAGTCAAGAGAGCTCTGGGCTGTGGAGGAGGCAGCCTTAGGCCTGCACCTGGGCCAGACAGCCTGTACCCGACACTGCCTGGACCCTGTGGCCAGAGCAGAAGTGGAAGGACCTTTGTTCCTACCCTACCAAGAGCCAAGGCTCCAGGATCACACACTTGCTCGCTTGGGAGCTGTTCTAGGTTAGGCTCAGGCAGGGCTGCCATAAAGGCTAAGGACCTCTGTGCCATGGGGCCCATCTCTCTATAGTCATCCCACTGTTGGGAGCTAAGGCCCCCAGATAGTTCAGCCTCCCTGGAAGTTCTGGGATTCAGGGCCATGTTCACAGTAGCTGCCCTGAGCCTGTCCTTGGGTTCTGCCCCTCCCTACAATGAGGAACCTGGCCAGGCCTGGGAGACTCCTTGCCATTGGACCCGGCCCAGGCATTTCTGGACATGGCCCTCAGGGTGGAGTTTGGGGGCATTTGCCAAGCCCTCCGCACTGGCTGGGCTTGGAACTCCTCCCAGCAGCCCCTGATCCTGTCCACTGTTCTCTTCTGCCCTGGAAGCAATGAGTTCTTGGTGGCTGTGACAGCTCTGGTCTGCTTTGCCCTCCAGGAATCCCACCCAAAGGAGGAAGGTCACATGGTGCTCCCAGCAGGGGTTGACACAGAGGTGCTGATGGTTGGCCTAAGTCTGGGCTGGCCGCCAGACCACCAAGATGGGCACAGGCCCTGTGCAGAGAGTTAGGATGGAGGGGCTGAAGCTGAATCTGGGCAGCCGGCCGCGGGTGCCTCCTCCCCATGGCAACGCACTTCTCAACCTGCAGCCAGCTCTGCTGGAGCCCAGCACACATCCTGGATTTGCCCCTGTTCCCACTGCACTATTGGCAGAAAGGATGGAGTCAGTGTTGTATAGATGTCTAGCCATGTGAGGCGACCCAGAGATGGCCAAACCCTGGGAGGGCAGGTGGAAAACGCCTGTCCGGTGGTTCCTGGGGACCAGCCTCTTCTAGGCAAAGCCAGTAGCCTGGCAGCCCACCCTTAGCCCTACCTGCATCCCAAGACCCACACACACTGGCTAGGGTCAACCTGCATCTTCTGCTGGGGTCTGCATCACAGCCCCTACTCTCCACCCCCACCCCCAGGCTCTATGGCTCAGCAGTGGCCCTTCTGACTACATATCTCACCTCCCTGGGTTGCAGTGAGCTGTGGCTGTTTCCCACCCAACGGGAAGGTGACCAGATGGCAGGAGGGACCTGAGAAATGGCCATGGGATCTTCGGGATCCCAGAGGCCAGCCCTGGAAGGTCCCCCCAGGAGCTTTTTGGGGAGAATTTGGTGGGTAGGTGGATGAATGGGGGCTGCAAAGCACAGGCGGTGACTGGACAAAGAACAGGACACAGGTGGGAGGGTATCCAAACCATTTACTAAGCGGACTCTTACCCCAACCCCCCAAGCTGTGAAGGAGGGCAGGGCCCCAGCCCCACACCCAGGATCCGGTTCCCGTAAGCCTTGCCTGGCGAGCTGCAGGGGTGAGACAGGGAGGTCCAGACCAAGTCTCTTGCCCCCACCCGGAGGCCAGCCTGCTGATGGAGTGAAGGCCAGTTATAAACGTCCCTCCGGCAGCCGAGGCTGGGGCCCCTGGGCTCTCGGTCTGCCCCTCTGGAATCAGCAGGAGCCACTAGGGAGTGGGTGGCATCCAAGACCCTGACGGTCAGAGAGGGAGCGGCATCTCCAGTCCAGTGCCCACACGGCCGAAGGAACGCGCGCCCTACCCACGTCGGAGCCAGCACTGCACACAAAAAGAAACAGAGCGAGTCTTCCCAAGTGCGCGTCGCCTTGCGGGGCAGGGCGCAGCCCGGGGCCGGCTAGGAGGCCGGAGAGGACGGGCTGCGGACAGAGTCCGGTCCGTGCGCAGGACTCAGAGTTCCGCAGAGCCTGTGCGCCGCGGAGGCCGCCGTCCATGCGGGGCTCCCCTGGCCGGTCCTCCCGCTCGCGGCCCTGCCGCGCAAGCGCACTCAAACATAGTTCTTCTTGTCGTAGTCGCCGCTGGCCGTAGGCCGCCGCGGCGCCGAGTACTTGACCGGGAAGCCGAAGTCGGGGCGGCCGGCGCAGACCCAGGCGCCGCAGCACACGAGGCCGCCGCCGCACATGAGCAGCGCCGAGGCGGCCCAGCCGATGTAAAGCGCGGCGCCCAGCTCGTACTTCTGCGACATGGGCACGGTCGGGTCGTAGAACTCCCGGACCACGATGTTGGCGAACCAGCAGAGCGGCACGAGTGCCAGCAGCCCGCAGAGCGCGTAAAGCGCGCCGCCCGTGAGGGCCACGCGTGCCTTACCCGGGCCGGGGGCCACGCAGGTGGTGCACTGCGCGCCCGCCAGGGTCACAAAGAGCGCGACAAGCGCCAGGAGCACGGCGCCCACGGTGAGCGCCCGCGCCGCCTGCACCTCTGTGCTCAGCGCCAGCACCGAGTCGTACACCTTGCACTGCATGTGCCCTGTGCTCTGCACCACGCACGACATCCACAGCCCCTTCCAGGTGGTCTGCGCCGTCACGATGTTGTGGTCCAGGAAAGCGGTCACCTGCCACATGGGCAGCCCGCACGCCAGGATCAGGCCCACCCAGCCCACCAGGCACAACACCAGGCCGAGAATCTCCAGCGCCGCCGACCCCATGGCTGGAGACAAGACGGGCGCCCGACGGCCCGGGGCCTCCGGGCGCGCACAGCTTACTCCCTCCGATCCCGGGCCCAGCGGCACCACAGCACAGCCTCGGGTCTGCTGGCGCCTCTAGGGGGGCTTCCCATTTGAAGGTTCGGGGGGCGGACTATGACCCGCGGGCCCAGCCCCCCACCCTGAGCAGCCAATCCACGCCCAGGCCATCCGCCCGCAGCCAATCGCAGGCGCCCCCGGCAGCAGGAGTTAGGAAAACAACTGCGCGTGGGGGTAGCGGGTGGCGGGCGGCGGGAGGCGGGCGGCGCGGGGAACCGCGGGGCATCCGGTGGCGGCCCCGGACCCTCATCCGCCGTTGTCCTAATCGCTGCAGAGCCCGTTCCAAGCTGACCACGCTCCACGAACTACCTCCCTGTGCGCCCCCACCTCGCCGTTTCAGGAGCTGCATGACCCTGGGTCTGCACCGATTTACCCGACACATCCTCGAACGAGCCAGTTGGTCCCTACCTCCCAGGCCAGCTCCACTCTTCCCTGGCCCCGGTCGGCGGGAGCCACTGCGCCGAGGGCCCCCGGGTTAGCCAAACACAGCTCGGCCTGTTCCTCCAGGAAGCTCTCCCTGGAGTCCAAGCCCAACACAGCCCCCTTCTCTGCACCCCGACCACTGTGGCCCTTCGAGTGCTGACACTGTCTCCCTCACAGGCCGAGAAGCCAGGAAGGCCTGTGCGGGTCAGGCCGGGGTTCCTGCTTCGTCCAAGGCCCTGCCCAGCGCCACCACGTCCCTGGGGCTTGCGGCTCCAGCACGAAGCAGAAAGAACGGGGCCTTCCCGTGGCCTCCGGAGACCCCCACTCTGCCCCTGCTGCCGGGGCTTCCCATACCTCCCAACCTTTGCACTGACTGCTCCTCTTCCGGAGATGCTGCCCATCCCCCATCCTTTGAGGCCCAGCTGAGGCGACACCGCGTCAGTAAATCCCCAGTGACCCAGCATACAGGCAATCCTCCCAGGAGCAGCCCGTGGCCCCAGGCTCTGCCACCTACTCCCTGCTCCAGGCCTCAGACAGAGACAGAGAGAGAAACGCAGGGGCTGTACTCTGCCCTCCCACCCGCTGCAGTGCTACCCTGGCACCCCAGCCCCCAGGCCACCCTCCGGAAGCCAACATGGAGTTTCCTGACTGGGAGGAAGAGCCCCCATCCTCGCTGGAGGCGGGAGGCGAGGGATTTCCGGGCATTCTTCTGCACAATGGCCCAGCCATTTCTCCAAGGCCCACTGGGATGGACAGTGGGGCCCCCTGAGGCTCAGGTAGGGGCACTAGTCCCTTTCTGGCAGCCCCCTCCCCACTCCCTGTCAGCCCCTCTGTCTAAAGCAAAGTCTGTATTCTGCCCTGGAGTGGGGCTACTAGGACCGCCACTCCTTCCTCAGGTCCCAGGTGCCTGACTGCTAGCAGGGCCTCCCCAGAGAAGGCCTGCCTTTGAGGCTGGCCAAAGCCTGGGCGCCTCAACAGATCGGTCCTTCCTGGGCCTGGTTCCTTCTCCTCAGGTGGCTGAGATAATACCCTGTCGTCCAGCACGGGAGGCACCCAAGGCAAGTTTGCTGGGCCCTGTGGGATTGGGAGGACAATTTTACCCCTTCTTTCACTCCAGCCCCCTCACTTCCTGCATAGATGGAGCTCCAAGAACCACTGCCTCCTCCCAGACAACCCTCACTCGCTGCTTCCCTCCTGTTGCAGACCTTTCTGGACGTCCCCTCCCCCATCCACTCCAGGGGGCCCAGCCCTACCACCCACCCACCCTTTCAATCCCACTTCCCTGTGGCCCAAGTCCAAGGACCTTGCCCAGGGTCCCCCCATGACACTCCACGCTGCTGTCTTCCCGGGTCAACTGCTGTGGCCTCCTCAGGCCGTCCAGGCCCCACCCTTGGCCACTGGGGCTGTTCTCCTCAGGGCAGCTGGGCATCGCAGCAGGCCCTGCTCCTGGGTCACACTCTGCCTGAAACCCTCTGTGGCCCGCACTGCCCATGGACGAAGCACTGACTCCTGGGAGCGGCCCAGGTGACATGGGCCAGCTGCACTGGGTCTGGCCAGTCCAGCAGCATACTCCACGTTCCATTCAGACTTGCCTCCCTCTGGGCCCTCAGACTGGTCTGTCTACACCCACGCCTCTTCTGCTTGCAGTATGTATCCCTTGGGCAGGGCCTGCATCTACTAGGTTGTGTTACCAAGGTCACTTCCTCTTGGATGCCTTCCTGCTCCCATCCCTCAGCCTTGCTCTCGAGGCCCAAGCTGGAGCTGCCCGTCTGCTCGCTGGTTGATCCCACCAGTATCCAGGAACGAGCCCCAGCACAGTGGCCGTCTTCATGCATCTGTCCTGGACAGGGGGCTGCCTGTGACCCATGCTGACCTCTGGCCACCTGCCACTCCTCCAGCACCTCAGAGCTGCAGCCAGCACAAGGTTCTCCCCATTTGCCTGCCCACCTGCCTCCCTCTCTCTGCCACTTTGGGCCCATCCTGGCCTGGCACCCTGGAGCAGCCCCTGTGAGTCCATGTCTCTTTGGGGACAGCCTCACAGTATCTTGGGGACTTGGTAGAAGGGCCTCAGTCCCCACCTCTCACAATCTGATTTCTACCCCGACACCACTGTGTTGGTTGTAGGCCTGGCCGCAGTTGAATCAGAGCTGCCACAGAGAGGCCCAGCCCCGACCTGCGGGGGCGTGAAGACTTGCCTGCCCTTCCTTCCACTCTCTAGAATCTCCTGGCCACCTACTATACACGGAGCATCGTGTCCGGGTAGAACACCCAGGGGGCTCCTGCCCTCAACCAGGGACTGGGAAGGGCTTTCAGGTATGCCCTTGGCTGTGAGGGAAAGAGATGGCAGAGTGACACCAAGTGATGAAGGCCTCTCTGAGGCGGTGATAGTTCAGCCCAAAACCAGGAAGAAGTTCCACACAAGAGCCCAGAGGCGGGAAAGGGCAGGAGACCGGCGGGGCTGGGGTGACGTGGTGGGCGCAGGCCTGCAGGCCAAGGGTCCAGGCTGGGCAGGGTGTGGATCCCTGATTTCTGGCGAGGGGCTCTTGGGCCAGCACGCCAGCCAAGGCCACCTGCTCATCTGCTGCTATTGTTCTGCTTTCCCAGGGGAAGTGCGGCAGGATCTCATTAATTGTGTGGGGGAAAGGCCTGAGTCGGCAGAAATCAGTTTATCTTGAGCAGCTGCCAGCTGACCCTGCACCACGGTGATCCGGTGACCTTCCAGGGACAATCTAAATTTAGGCTCCAGATTTCTGAGGACTGGGATTTGGGAAGCTCCTAGTTAATGGATTTCATTTTGGGGGAAGTGAGAAATAATGTCCCTTCTGTCTTTTGGCTTTGAAATAGTTAAGGATGTTTTCCTCAGGGTAGCAGCTGTTTGTGGAGCCTCTGAGCACAGAGCACTGCCTGTGCCCTTTCTTGGTGCAACCGGTGCCCCAGAGGCAGCTCCTCCAACATCGCCAGGCCTGCCCTGGGGCCCAAGGCGCCCTGCGTGGGAGGGGCATGGGTGCCTGTGCCGATGCCCAGAGTGCCCTTTGACAAAGAGCTGGTGAGTTCACAGTTCAGATGAGGGAACTGGGCTCTCCTTGCCTTTGTCCCACCATTGATGCAAAGCCCCCCGTGGTGGAGACTGCAAGGTTGAAGGGGAGGCAGTCATCAATCCTGAGTCCTCTGCTGCCATTCCTGAGCGCCCTCCAGGTTCCTGAGACAGCCTCCCTGGCTCCCTTGACCTTCACAGCTCATCTGATGTCAGTTTGGTCCTCAGAGCGGGCACCACTGGCTGGCTGGCAGAACAGGAGGGCACTGTTGCTTAACCTTCCCCAGTGGTAGGGGAATGTGGGGGGCAGAGGGCTCTGGTTGACAAGAAACCCAGGGTCTTGTAGACCCCTGTGCCCTCATGGATCGCACCAGATGGTGGTCTCTGTGTGATTTCCTGGAGGCCAGCAAAGGCTCTGTGTAATGGCAATAGTGGCCCCAGGAGCCCAAGGCAGCCCTCACCCCACACCCTCCACCCCTCATATCTGCACTGCCTCTGTGGCCTCTCTGTCCACCTTCTCTCCCCCACCTGTCCCTTCACAGATTCAGTCCTTCTCTGCATGCTGCATTTTGCAACAATTTTATACTTTCACTTAAAATCAGTAGAGTCATTCTGGATCCTCCTTTTTCATTTAGCATCATATTGTAAACATGTCCCTACTCTGTTAAAAAACACCCTCATGATTATCATTGTTTCTAACTGCCTTGGGAGCTGGAGAGCCAGGATGGAATCATCTATCTCCCTGACTCCTGAGAGTGGGTGGTGACCAAGGCAATCTGTTCCAAGGTTCCGTAAAATGGGGATGGTAATGGGCTCAACATCAAAGGGCTGCCAAGGAGCTTAGTGGACAGCAATTCCTGGCTCAAGGTGGATGCTGGATTAACATTTACGGTGATGATCATCCTGGTAATTATGCAACCATCCCTCAAGACATAGTTTCATAAGTGATAATTTTCTATTATAAATAATGCTGCTATGAATGGCATTATTCATGAGCCTTGGTATTTCGGATAATTTCCTCAGGAAAAACTCCTCAGAGTAGCATTTCTGGCTCACACCCTAGAGGGTGTGTCCCTTAGACGCCTTATCTGAGTACGCATTTTCACTGCCTGTCATTAGCTCTAGGTAGTCACAGTTTTTAAAGTTTACTAATTGGATAGGTAGAAGATGGCACCTTACTTTAATTGGCATTTCTTCACAAGTAATGAAGTTAAAGTTTTTTCCAATTAATACTGCTCATTTTTATTTCCTCTTTGGTGAACTGTCTATGTATCCACATAGAGCCTTGGTGTTTTCTCACTTTATATGTTAGAAACATTACTTGCTATCATATATATGGCATATACTTTTTGCTGTTTCCTACTTAACCTATTAACAATTTTTTTCAAAATGTTATAGAAGTTTGAATTTTTGAGTATTCAAATCTATTAAGGTTTTCCCTATGAGATTTCAATCTTTATCTTTAGCCATCAAAAAGTCTTTCTATATACAGAAAATACAAATTAAGTTATGATTTCTTATAGTTTTCTTCTCTGTCTCCTCATGTCAAAGAGGGTTTCTGATTCTGACCAAGATGAATAGGACCAACTGCAGATAGAGTTTTGCTCAAGAGCAAAAAGCGGGGGAGGGCATAGGAAAGAATCAATAAATTTAAAGATGGGGGCTTCCCTGGTGGCGCAGTGGTTGAGAGTCCACCTGCCAATGCAGGGGACGCGGGTTCGTGCCCCGGTCCGGGAAGATCCCACATGCCGCGGAGCAGCTGGGCCCGTGAGCCATGGCGGCTGAGCCTGCCTGTCCGGAGCCTGTGCTCCGCAATGGGAGAGGCCA